CTGTGCTTAGAAAGATGATTACCTTTTTGTCAAGACTCAACAATATTTCAGTTACTCTAGAACTTAATAACTTCGAAATAATTATTAATTATTTTTCAACTTGTCAAAAATAATATGTGATCTAAATAATGACTGTTTATGAATGTACAACAAAAATGACTGTATAATACAACAAAGCATGATTGTATGGCCAACCTTAGCTAAAGATTCCATTATGATCATTTTTCACAATGTTTTACTACTGACAATATTTTAAACCTTTTATGATTACTCTTGCCTTGCGGATACCCTGATAATACGGACAGCAGCTAAATTCCAAGGCAAAACTAAATTACAGACATTTGACTGAAATAAACTCCTGTTATAAAGGACGCTCACTAATAAGGACACTAACTCAAGCTCTCTACATTGTCCGCTATAAAGGACCCTGACTGTATTGCTACAATCCTTGATGAGGCATTCTTTAAAAGTCTTCATCATATTAATATAACATATTTTTCTACTATACAACGTGAACTACATTAATATTAAAAGTGTAAGGAGAGGGCATTGGCCATTATCAAGTCTCTTTTCTTTGGACTTCTTTTTACCTGTGTACCAGGTGAATCTTCAGACACACCCAGACAGGATAATGATTAAGATAACCTACAGTACATGTAAATGGATATAATTTTATTATATTTCTAGGTTATTAAAAACTTGGTATTGACTAACTGAAATTGATGGATTCATGCTTGTGCACCACCAACAGCACCCAGTCCTAGGTCTCCTTCTCTCATGATATCACTTGGCTCATTACTAATCATGCTGCCACTGGTTGGCCTGACCATGACACCACCTGTGAAAGACAGCTCGCCATTTACATTTATCATGTCGTCATCACTGTCTGCTTTTACAGGCTCCTCCTGAAATAAGTCAAATGGGACAAACTTGGTTAAAAAAACGATGGTCAAAAATAAAGTACTAAAAACTGTGGCCTGTATGTATCTCATTGCTCCTCCCCATTAGGGATGTTTGTGGCAGAGACATCTGCAATTCGGCCCCAAAAATTCCATAATGATAACGTGGACTTATCCAGGTCATCAAGGAAGAACATCATCTTAACAAACGTTTTCTTTAAAGTTTACTTTTTTGGAAATCTGTGTAATTTCTCGTTCTCTGAGGCGTTGAAACACCTTTGGAAGACAGCTGAAACATTGTCCACTTGTGGGCTGGTCTTTCATAAAAACAGCAGGCACAGTCACCAAGTCCAAGCACTGACCAAATTGGTCAACATAGTAATTCTACTATTATTAATGTATAAAGACAAGACAAAAAGTCACAAATAGATCAATGTAAATGCAATGAACAACAGACATTGTTTGTGGAAAAATATAGTCTTCTTCTTTAATGATTTTAACTAAGTCTATACTGTCACAAATAATTATTTTAATAAGTTTATTACCTTCGGTTGTGGTTTAGGTGACAGACGTCTTGCAAGGGGACCACAACAGCCTGGTAACGTTTCAGTCAGTGACTGTCCATAGTTGGTAAAAATAGGTTTCATATATGTGAGACTTGTCAAGGAGAGAAAGCTTATTCAAACATGTACATGATACAGTTAAAAATCACATTGCTCTACCTTGCCAAGGTTGGTTTACATTCTGGTGATTGAGGTTGGGCCATATAATAAGGGTTGTAAGAGCATCAATTATGATTTGTAAAAATCAAAATCATTGTTGAAGTGGAATAAAAGGATATTTGACATCAAAGTCGTACCACTTTCTAAAAATCCATGCTCTTTCATAATGGGCCTGTCTCGATCTGAGAGAGTCATCGTCATCCTACAAGAATTTTAATTTAAAAAGATATTGCTTTGCTCTGAAGTGCTACACAGCAAAGGTGATTGGTTGTAATACTGAGAGTATTAAACTGGAAAGTACAATTATAATTATATTGTTTCCTTAATTTGCAAAATAATTCCCAAAATTGAGAGATAATGTTCAGTGCCTAACCATCCAGTCCCCCTCCCTCTCAAATCCAATTAGACTAAGTAACTTTTAAACCAACAGACCTCAAGCATGCAGTATTTTAAATTAATTTAATTGATATGCATGTGCACAGAACACTGTATCTATACAGGGTTACAAATAGTCATCATTCTGGTGAGTGCTTCAAAAAAATATAACATTACCACTAACAGTAATATTGCAGGCATCTAATGTAACAGGCAGCACTCAGATGTGACACCTTATAATAATTTATTATTATTGTGAAAATGTCACAACTCATGATGTGTCATGTGATGTGGCACTCAATGTGGATTTTCTTTAATGTCGAATATTGCATGCGATGTAGTGTCTTCTGTTAATTGCCAGATGAGTGGTACTAACAGGAATTTCCTGAGTGGACTGGACTTTACACATAAATGGCTCTTTGAGATCCACAGAAATTTCCTGGAAAAAAAATACCTTCCATGTTTCTAAAGACAAAACCTACAATGCTGACCGAGACATATGCTGATTTCCTGTCCTCTTCTTCTGGATCAACTCCAACTCTGAAACAAAACAAAAGACATAACATTTTTCGCAGTTATTATTACTGTTACTAAGACAACAATTAGCACAGCTGTCAACATCATTTGACGAGGAACTGATTCTGTGTTCCGCATTGCCAAAGCAAACGCTACAGCACCCCGTAACCCTAAAACAAGGGTGTAAAAGGGAGTTTAATTTTATTCTACTTGTACAAATAATCGGAAACATGTTTCACTAAGCGGCTGCTTGGAGGCAATTTGGTCCACCTACCTGCGAAGACCATCATGTGCTGGAACTTAAAGCTAATTTTCCTGTGTCGCCCCAAATTGAGTAAAAACGACAATGGATAAATATTACAAAGTCTTCCTAATGTCATGGCAAACTACAGAGATAACTCGGTTAAGGAATGTAGTAACCTGCTCATTACAAACAAAAGAGTATTAAACCGATGCCAAAAAATATTAATTATTAAAATAATAATGAAAATAATTAATAATCAAGCAACTAATCAGATGATACCAAATACATAATAGTTTTTCAGATTTTGAGCTATTAGTGTTGTAACTCATTGCAAAACTCATGGTCATATTCTTGGGTACTATAACCTACTCCCATGGAACAAGAAATAATACT